AATGCGTGTTTGTTTGCTCTGCGCTGTAGTCCTCTTCCTGCTTGCGGAGCGGTGCCTGGTCTGCTTGCATTCACACTGTACTCAAACCACGCTCAAGTTTTCTTCTACCGGACCGAGACCTAGGTTTTAGACCGGGCCAGAGATCGCCTTTTTGTTCCATTACAGAGTTCAATGGAGAGTTCTCACCTCCCCAAATGAACCGGACTTCCTAGGCAAATGGGCTAGAGTTCGGAACAACAGGGCTGGTGTGAATGCACCCTAAGACAGAGGGTTTCGACAGTCCACACAAAAACGTAAGGCTGGCGTTTCAAGCATTTTGTTTTAACTCAGAAACATTTTTCTTTTTTTTAAAATACCAATTCATGGCTCCTACGATGCTATTTCCATTTGTATACAAAATTGAAGAAGTTTAACAAAAAAAAAAAAATCATCCATAAACACATACCACCTTCCCTTTGTGGACGACCTCTCATTTACACAGAGCGACACACCAATCCACACATTGTGGTGGCGTCGCTGTGATGACAGAAGGGTATCCACTGGGGGCCATGGGCTCAACTGGGGCAGCAACACCAAACACGCATCAATCAGCAGCAACCGCCCAACGGGACGATGATTTGAGTGTGTGAGAGAACAAGACATGCAGCCAAGCAGCCACCATCAGACTTGCGGACGTTTCCTTGCTCTTTTTCCAAACATTCCCCGGGGTGGGATGGGGCAGCTTTTTTTTTTGTTGGCAACATCCACCCTCTCTGTTTACTATCCTTTTATCCGCTACCCCCATCCTCCCCCTACTCCCAATGCTCTTTTCTCCCTTCCAGACGTTCTATCCAGAAGCGACTGTTGTGGGCCAGAATATATTTGTTTAGCCACTGCTGCTCCACCTTCCCATCAGCCAAGAACAAATGCTTTGCCTTGGGAGCGAGAAGACGGAGAGAGGATGGTGAGGGGAAGAGAGAAAAAAAAGGAGAGAGCCCACAGCGGGTTGGGAGCTCTTGTTGTGGAGTGGATCTGACAGACGCTCGAAGATGACACAGGCTTGGACAGCCGATGTCTGCATCTCTCCCTGCTATACATCTGCGCCTATTTGTCTACACTCGCTCTCATTTGTGCGTCTCAGAGCAGCATGACTGTGGGTCTGAAAATGCGCTTCGACAGTGATTTAGGATTTCTTCCATCAGACAGTGCAAACAATGTATCAGCACGGTGAAGCTGCGGAAGAGCTCGAGATGAGGAAAGCATGGTGTATTCTAATAAGACTCACTTGTGAAAATCATATTATACAGTCGGAATATGATAATTCCTACACCCTTTGCTGGAGCGGTGAACTGGTACGGGTGGTGCGCTCGCAAATGTCAGCATAAATTTGCAAAATAAACTTAACCCCTGCGTTCAGCGGGGAGAAGGAGCAGGGGCAATAAGGGTTTCAGCTGTTTTGGCGTGTGTGTGTGCATGACAATCGCTCTGAGAGAGGGGTGTGTGACGTTCTGCACACTCCTGTTTCAGCTCGCAGGCGTATGTCGCCAACAAGTGTTTGAGCTAATTTACGCTTAAATGTGTCTGCAGGAGAGGCATGAGCGCTTGAGGCAAACGTTAAATCCCCGTGGCATCAATCAATCCAACTTGCCTTAACTTAAGAACAGGCACATCTGTCCAATACGACAAATAAATCTACGCAAAGCTTTTCATTGCTGGTTGAAGGCTAAAACCTCGATTTGAAATCTGGTTGAAGTGAAATAAAAAGTTTAAATGAAGACCAAGTTATGTGTGCTCACATGAGTACACTAACATGTTCGATATCGAAATAATACTTTAAGCCTCAGCATCTTATTTTACTACCTACTAACCCGTCAACCTTTTATTTCCAATCCATGGGCTTTAGTTCTGGCTGGCTTAAAGCCAAGCTTCTCTTTGTCCATGTGACTATTCCTCTACCCATCTGTTCCACTGTCTCTCTGCGTTTCTCTCTTGCCATTTGCTGTCGTTTTCTATCATTTGCACCTTTTTCTGCTGTTTGCGGTCCCCCTGTCCATCTACCGTCAGCGTACCTCGCAAGAATAAACAAATAAATACATAAAAAGAAAAGATGACAAAAGTGCGTCAAAGGGTGCCAATTCCTTTTCACATCACAACAGTGTGACTCGCAGCCTACAACAGCTGTAAATGCCTTCATCTGCATATCTGTGAAGTGCCTGTGACCGCCAACGGGTCGTCAATGCTGGTATCCGAATTAGCCCGAATCGCGGAGGTGCATTTCCATCAATCAATCGGTTGAAGCTGGACATGAAATCTGAGAGGAGACCTGCGGTTCAAAAGACGTCGGGTCACACTTCTATGCTGTTATCTTTGGCTGTAAATGGGGAACTTATTGGACTAACTACCCCTTAACAACTGCAGTCAGAAATAGACTATGGACTTTCACGGTCGGCTCGTTTTTGAAGAGGTGTCAGTTACGCTGGGCCTGGAGCGATGGCTGCCATACATGTGTGTGTTTGTGTGTGTTACAAAAAATGGGGGAGTGGTGCAGTGGATCATTCTCCACATTTTGTACCAGGGACAGTTGGGACAGTGGCAGGCAATGAAGCTAAAGGCCAGCTAGGGGACAGTTTGTGACCTAAGTCTGCCTGCTGCTAAACAGATCCCACAAATGTGCAGACAGAAACACTGATACAGATATCAAAGTTCATGCTCAGTAATCCAGGTAAAAAAAAATTCAACAAAGTTCAGTCAGGTCATCCGGATGGTTTATTTTTTATTTGTTGAGATGTTTCACCCTTCTTCAAAAAGGACTTCATCAGTCCGAGGAGCCACAAGCAAACTCAGTCCCCACAAGCAGCACACTCACATAGTGGAACAACCAGTTTGCTGATAATAAGATGGTTTCTAGGGCCTGCCCTCTCCCCCGACGACTTCTCGGAGGCAGCCGTAGCCAAAGTGGTTCAAAGTGGATGAAGTCCTTTGGATGAATGACGAAACGTCTCAACAAAAAAGAAGAAACCATCCAGATGACCTGACTGAACTTTGTTGGATTGATACAGACACTTAAACTGCTTGAAATCTCCATTCTCCCATTTATAAAGAGAGTTTGAGCCTCTTTTTTTTTTAGCTCTAATCCAGCCAGACATTGTTTATTAATTTGCTACTACGTCACATCGAACCTGAACAAAAGTTCAAGAAATACCAGTGGGCGTTTGTCTTTCTGTCAAAGCTGCAAATCATTTCTTTAAGCGGTAAACGCAGGTACGCTGTTCTAGGGAGCAGGTTGTTTGATGGGGGACATATAAAAGGGGGCGACACAGTGTGACAGCTGCAACCAGCTGGTACACGTTACTCCAAAGAGCCTTGATAATCTGCTTCCTGCTGGATCGCTGAGAGCAGGTTTATGCAGGAAAAAAAAGAGGAAGGTGAGCTTCAACAAAAGCAAGTACTCTTGCAGTTTTTTTTTTATATAAATCTGGGTAGTTATTAACACTTTCTCTAATCTTCAACTTTCCAGTAGATGTTTCTCTGTTCCATACAGAGGCCAATCACGGGGTTGCAGCGAGCACAGCTGCTGCCACAGCCTTCCGATTCTTGCCGAGCAGCAAACTTTCCTCTGTCAGATTAAGTAGGATTAGCTGGGTCTTGCTGTATGATGAACTTCATATGGCGACTTCCAAATAAGGGTGGAAAAAAAAAAAGTTTAAAACTCTACTTTTTCGCAGCTTAATTAGAAGCCTCTCCATAACCCCCTCCCGGTTATACAATAGCTGCTGGCTTGTTGAGTGTGTAAAAACATCACCCGCTTACTGCAATTTACAGAATAGCTATGGAGGCAAACACGTGCTGTGAAGTGCTGAAGCATGTGCACGTGCAGGTGCACAGATGTAGGCTCCGTCCCACATCGTGGCTCACGCACGGCTCCACGCTCAAAGTTTCCTCATCGGAGGGGGGTGCTGAGTTCTATTGTGTGTTAAAATGGCATGCGCACACGCGGGCACATGCATAGACTCAATGGTATTTTTATCCTTCCCCAGAGCCACTCGATGGCCGCTAGCCATATCACTCGACTACAGAGGAGCTACGGTCACACCAGCTCATACTTAAGACCCCCGCCCTTGTTGTGAGGGTGAATGTTTGGGGTAGTCCAGAGAAGTAGAATGTGTGGCGATATAAAGGGGCTCTAAAATAGGTGGTGGATGTTAGGGGTGGGGGGTAAGGCCGAATACGGAAAGAATTTAGTCCGTTATCAACCGCTGTCTGCAAAGACCACTGAGGACACACAGCAGAGACCCTGGAAATGTGAGCACATGACAGGGCCAAAGGCGTGCACACACTCACACTGGCTCCTCATGCAGGGTTTTTCCTCCTGAGGCGAGGCTAAAGCATCCAATCTCACTCTTTCTTGTCTATCTTTGGCACTGATAAAGGCTTATAATGAACTGGGGACTGGAACTCAGTCCCAAGACTGATGGCTTTATGGCCCCAGCCAGATCATCACCCTCTGTGGACTTCGCTTGCCACCGGGTGAGAACAGAAAAATAGTGCCAGAGGGAAGGAAAGGAACAAGAGGGGAGAAAGGAAAAGAAAGGAGGGTGTATGTGTGTGTGTAAAGATTAAAGTTTTACACTCTAACCTTTGAGAAGCATTTTGCAACACAGTCCTTGGTTTACTACGGACACATTTTCTTAGATCTGTGCCGACCTAAAGCTGAAATAAATACTCAAAAGAGTTTTGATAAAGCTGCCTTGTGTCACGGCCAAAAGCCAAACAAGGGACAAAGGTCCTCCTGAGCTGATCATCCCTGACCTTATCTCCTCGTTTTGTGCTACGGTACAATGCAAAACTGTATTTGTAAACCAGTGACAGTTGTAAAAATTGTTTGGGTCGCATTCAAGAATGTGATAAGGTACTGTGCTTGATGGGGGGGGAGTGGGGGTAAGTTGTTATTCCAGCTCACCTGCTGTCCTTTAGAGTAATGGTAGGTCATAAATGATTCAATTTCTTTAAGCTTTACTTACCTCAAAGAGATTGGAAGCTTCATTCCCGTACTGAGAGGAAATGATCTCTGATTGGTCACTGTACCACTTAAGGCCACCCAGGAAGCTGTCCGCATCGAGGTCACTCACATCCAGCTCTGAGAGGTCGAGTTCAGGGAGGTCCGGGCAGAGGGGCTGGTCTTCACCAACCAAGGCAGCACACTGGAGGGAACAGAACAAAGATGGCGGCAAAGAAATTAAATGTCTCGTAAAAGAAAACGAACGTTAAATTATTCAAGGCGGCTTTGGAAGCACATGGAAATTGGAAAAATGGTTGCGACCTGTCTAGGGTGTACCCCGCCTCTCGCACAGTGGTAGCTGTACCAGTGACCCCCGCAACACGAAAAAGAAAAAGCAGGTAAAGACAATGGATGGATGGTTCTTTCTAAACCCAGTTAGATGATATATGTTCGTGTCTCACTTTCACATGGTATGACTCTCCCCAGCCACAATTAATCTACAATTTTTCCAACTATTACCATATTTATTATCAACATGGCAGCTCCGACAGGCTGCAGGTCAGCTGCCTTCTGCAGAACGAGCAACTTGTTTCCACTTCAACCTCCAGCATACTGTGTACACTGTTGCTGCTGGTGGCCCCCTGACTACTAAACGCTGCCTGTTGACAGTCTGTTATTCACCAGCCTCTTTTATGTAATGTAGCCAATGCGTACTGTTTGTAGCAGCTGCTTCTGCTTCCTCCACACGCAAATCAACAACCCTGGCCTGGCTGCAAAGGAGAGCGGTGAACTGGAGCTGGATAGGTCCCTTGACAAGAGGAGGCAGCACGTTGACAGATCACTGTTTCCTACAGATGAATACTAGTATGAGTTGTATGTGTAGTATAAACCAGAGCTGAACAATGTTGCTGCAATAAACCCACATTTTCCACTATTTTTAATGTCATCAGGGCACTCTCTGGTCTCCATTTTGGCCATTATCATTTAAATTAGCCGTGGGCATTTAGAGCAACAAGGATCCATCTGACTAGCAAATACGTTTAATATAAACAATTTGAGACGTTGACCTTTTGCACAATTATAATCCGATAAGACATTACGATGACAGCATGATGCTATGGTGACAATACATATGTATCATGCAACAATACATATTATATCAACAATACAGGATTTTACACATGGCATGATGTTACCAGACCAATGTATGATATTATGATAACAATACATGACAGTTTCATGACAATGTATGGTATTGTGATGATACTGATGCATGACACTCCAAAACCTATGATGGCGATACTGTATATGTATTGCAATGACTACACAATATTGTGTTAACGATACAATATTGTGATGATGATAGAATAAATGTATTGTGCAGCCTTTGATCAGATCTTTTGGAAAGACAGTTATTTTCAATGTGTAACCCAGCAAAAACTAAAAGAGCAATGTAAAAAATAATCCCAGTGGCCTTTAAGTCATTTTTTTTAATAAAGGTAAAAAAGAAGATATTTAGACTCTGCTCCATCCATTCATCATTTTAAGCCTTTCTTTCTTCCTGCGGTCTCAGTTGAAACACACTCATAAGTTAGCAGAGGCGTTTTGGAACGCCACATGGAGGCGTAAAGAAAGATATAAGACTGATATCCCCGGGGGAAGCCGTGAGGTATTTTGGCCCACAGACTTTTCAAGTCGGGGTTCGACTCGAGGCAAAAGCTGAGAGAAAAGGATGCTGTGCCAAGTGGGGGAGAAACCCCGTCCAGACATCGGTGTCACAGTTCATGTCCTCAGAATGTGCCAACACCACACGGTGGCTGTGACGAGGGAAGAACGCGTCAGCGGCATTTGGTGAGGGCTCTGATTCAGTCAGTCAGGACCAACTGCAACCAAAGGTTTACATATTTACGCACTGGACGTCCTGTTCTGTTATCTCCTGAATTTCTTGGGTAAACTAATGAAATAACGCCGCCGACCAGCTCCACAGAGCATCAGGATGCAGCGCGCAGCGCAGCGCTCCGGTGATTTACGCACAGCGCCGCACATGAAAACACCTGCTCGGATGGTTATTAGCTAAAACCCTGATGGCAGATTTCTTGCCTGACTGGCTTTCGTTTTGCAAACATGAAAAAAAAAAAAAAAAAAACGCAGCAAGAATCGATCTGATAATAAGCTTTCAGCTCAAACTCCCATGGAGCTGAATTATGGCGAACGTTTCCAAAACAAAACAAAACAAAAAAATCTGCAAGTTTGTTCCTTCAGCTCTTCATCACGAACTGCAGCCACATGATAAAAACTGTGAAGCCCCACGGGATTAAAATAAAAGTCTACTGGAGCCAACGGTTATTAAACAAGATAAATGTACATAAAACCTGAGAGAAATGTCCGACTTGATGTGGATGCGGCTGCTCTCCGGTCCGGCAGCGCTCCATGCGCCTTTTGCACCGAGGATGCTCCTGCGCCAAAACGCGCCGGGAAAGCGTCAAAAACAACAAGAACTATCCGGACAGAACTCATCAGAGGAGGGAGGATCGTCCGTGGGGACCTGACTTCAGAGACATTTCGGCAATGAAAGCACCTCTCTGCACCCACACGCACATACACACACGCACAGACGGAGCAGATCCTCTCGTGCCAGTTTTGGCCACGACTAATAAAGATTCCCTCTTGTCATATGTGCATATGTATGTGTGTGCGGGTGTGTGGGTGTGTGGGTGTGTGGGTGGGTTTGGATAGATCCCTCGCATCCTCAGCCGCGTCCAGACGCGCATCAACACCCGCGAGCCTCGGACAGCAGAGACTTGTCCATGATTCCAGTAAACAAAATAAAAATAAAAATAAAAATCTCCAGGGCGATAAGATCGTCGGGTTATTTTCTCACCTCTAATTCTCTCCACACAGAGTCCTGGTTACACCTGTCCCACGCCATTCAGCCACTGTGAATGACGGTCCCCGAAAACCCCCCAAAAAGAAAAAAAAAAAAAAAAAAAAAAAAAAAAAGAAATGAAGTAAAAAAAAAAAAAAAACACAAATCCACTCGCGCTTCCCACTCGCTCTCACGCAGACGACTGCTGCCCCTCGCCGAGAATGAACCGAGGGCACCTGTCTTACAACTGCTTTCCATCACATGACAAAGCTATTAAAAGTAGGCAGGGGAGTGACTCGGTGTGTGCTCCGCTCGGGCCGGTGACGCGCGGGGAGCGGGCGGAGTCTGGCACGAGTAAAATCCTCCTAACACACACACATGCACATGCGCACACGCACGCACGCACGCAAAGGATTTGTCAGTTTACTTCAACACAAGAAGCGTTCTGTCAAACGTCAAATTAAACATGACCGTTTCTCTGTGCGCGCTCGTCCGTCAGTCTGTTAGCAAAATATCTAACGAACCCCAGGACGGATTTTAACCAAACTTACAGAAAGTAGTCATTTGATTGATACCTTTAAGTGATTTGCTTTAGGAATTAGTTTGACTTAAGATGGCTGCCTCAGCTTATCATCCTCACGAAACACATAAATGGTTATGAATCAGTCAGTTTGACAGATTTTGAACTCAAAATTGGTGTGGTGGTAGCTGAGCCGGATCCACAACTCATTCCCTGAGCACTAAGTGATTGCATAAAATCAGTGTTTAAAACTTTGGTAATAACGACTGGATTAACGTTGTCTGTCTGTTAGCAAAATATCTAACAAACCCCAGGACGGATTTTTACCATGCTTCCAGAAAGTAGTCATTTGATTGCTACCTTTAACTGATTTGCATTTGGGATCAATTCGATTTAAGATGGCCGCCTCAGCTAATCATCCTCAGGAAACACATAAATGGTTATGAATCAATCAGTTTGGCAGATTTTGAACTAAAAGTTGGCAAGGTGGTAGCTGAGACTGATCCACAACTCATATCCTGAGCGCTAATCGATTGCATAAAATCTATGTATAAAACTTTGACGATAAAAACTGGAGTAACACTGTCTGTCTGTTAGCAAAATATCTAATGAGCCACTGGACATATTTAAATGAAACTATAAGAAAATAGTCAATTGATGTGCCTCTACGAGTGATTAACATTTAGACTCAATCCAATTCAAGATAGCTGCCACAGCTAGGTGACATTAGCTAACACAAAAATGGTTATACCTCAGTCAGTTTAACAAATATCATGCTAAAATTTGATATGGTAGTAGCTGAGAGTGATTCAAAACACATACTCTGTCTTACAATATTTCATAACATTGAGCATAATGTTATGTTCAAGGTTTCAGCAAATCAGCTACAACTCTGTCATTTTGCTACATGACACGATCTTAGTCTGAAAAGTTTAATGCAAAACACAGCAGGTGATAAGAATTCCTTCAAGGATGGCAAGGTCTTTAATTTAGCCACCTGAAATGGGAAAGTGTTTTAGTAGTTTTTATTTTATTTTAGACATTGTTGTCACCCATTGTCCTCCATTTGTATTGGAACGTTTGAGAATACAAATCGATCCAATACAAGCAAATCAAACTGAATTAAAAAAACTTGGAAACAAACAGCCTTGCTTAAAAAACTGATTATAAAAGTTTACTTTTTTTTAGGTTTGATTAATTAGGATTTTATTGGTGAAATTATTATTCATCGTTACAAAAGAGCAGAGAGTTTAGAAACTGTAAAAAATACAAATAAATTCTCAGCACAAGCACAGTAAAACAACAGACCTGGAATTTCTTGAAGGAATGCATATCGCCCGCCGCCTTCAGTGTAGGACCTTCAAACTAAAACCAGTTTATGTTGGGAAACGATGCAGTTAAAGCAGTTTTGGTCCCAGCTTATAAACCACGTTACACACAGTCGAATGCACAGTTGGGAGATCTAAGATGTGGTTGCACTCAGAGAATTTGTTGTGAATGACTCTCGGCTACTACCACGCCAAATTCTAGTTCAATGTCTGTAAAACTGAGTGGTGTTCTCTAAGCAGACATATTGAATTGGACTAACGTCAAAAGTTTATTAGTTCTAGAGGTAAAACCAAGGATTTGAGTGACTTTCAATAAAACATGTCCCTTGGTTTATTAGATATTGTGCTGACACAACACCCACCACTGAAGGGTAAAAGGTAGGTGGTATTTAAGCTTTAAAGCTAATAAGCATTTTGTTAATATGTTTTGCAGGACTATTTCCGGTTCCCAGCGCCTAAATCAACTTGTTTCATTGTCATACAATCTA